TTGCTGGCTGAGCGGTGTAAATGTGTTTCTCAAGCTAATATTTATATTCCTGAGCTTTCTCGGTAATGAGAGTATACACATAAATTACAAATCCACGCATGCTTAAAAATTCTTTTAAGTTCGGCCCAGCCTGACCCGACCAAGCCATTTTTTGTTCTATAGGGCTTCTGGAAAACTCGCTCAAAACCTATGTTATCGGCACAAAAATTATGCCATTAGAAAGTAGACACTTTGGGCTATCCAACCATGTGCTTTTCTCAAAATCAATAGTTTTGACGAAAAATCGGCATTTCTGACCCGAGGTGCGGGGCCTTAACAAACTAAGTCATGATCAAGCAAAATATAAGAGGATTGGCTTGTATAGATTGTGTAATAAATGATGTCTATTAGTGTACTTGGTTTGCTATATCAAATGTTCGTTTACTGTGATTAATAGCAAATTCAATACCTAAATTAACCTTCTTGATCCAGGATTTTCGACAAAAATCTGTTACTTCAATCATACTTTGCAAAGCACAATCAGACAATGATAAACTTGACGATAATTCATATTCAAAAATAAGTTTATTACATATCTTATCGTCAGAACGTAAAAGAAATTGATAATCAATTTCTTTTTTTTCTCTAGGTAATAATAATTTCATTTCTTTTATGTCTGGTAATATAGATGGTCGACCACGACCACCACCATGATATGTTTTTCCTGGCTTTTTGTTATATGATATTGGTGTTGTATTCTTGTTCTTTTCAAACATTTGCTCATTTTTCATGATCATTCTTTTCCTTGGATCGTTCTTTTTCTCTTCCATATCTAATTTACGTTTATTTTTTTCAGCAATTAAACTAGCAATATTTGGATCAATTGGTTTTGTTTGTACAGCCGCAGTACTTATACGTTGTGTATGCCAAACATTTTCACGACGTTTGACATTTGCCCATTCGTTTCCACTCAAATGTCTCAATGTACGACCATCTTTATCTGGTTTATACATCATTTCTTTGATAAGACGAAAACGATCAGTGAAAAAACGTATTTTAATAGGTATATAAGCGGATGGTGCTGAAGATTGTGCCGATTGTATCCCACTACTCAGCCGACTTCGTTGTTGACGAAGTGATAAAGGTGATGGCAATGTTAAATGAGAGGATTTCTATACATTTAAAAAAGAGGAAATAGTTCAAATATACGATAAGAAAAAATTACCTGTTGTTTTTGTCTGTTCAATCGCATTGTACTCTCGGGACGAGCTTCATTAATATCTGTTATTGTATTATCATCATCTGGCGACGCTTCATTTCGTTCACTTGTACCATCACTTATTAATCCCGATTCTATTAGACTTATGGCATTTCGAAGCAAAAATGTTCCTAATTTATAAATACCAGTAACTTTATTCCAAAGTTTTTTACCAGCGGTTTTAGTTGCTAAGGCAACATTTGCATCACCACCTTGTCCTCTAGACAATTGTTGATTGGCAACTTTAGCTTGTAAAGTAGTTAGAACATTGAAACTAAATATGAAAAAACTAAAACTTCTATAAACATGAAGTACTTCATATACCTTTTCAGTTGATTTTCCATTTGTCTAGCTTTAAATTTTTCTCTATCATCTATAAAGTAGACAGTGCGTGCTTTTTCCTTTGCATATTCGGCTGTCGAATAAAAATCACAAAAATCATTATTAAATCCGTCAATTAATAACTTATAACCCAGTTGACCACCAGCATTAATTGGTCTCTTTTTTAATGAACTATATTGTGGTCCCAATTTTAGATAACATTTTTCTCGCGCACGATCAGCCCATGCTTTTAATGCATACATTTGTCTATTTAATATTACTACATTTTTTGATATTTTAACACCACCAAAATTTTTTGTTAATACAAATAATGCTACTTCACGATATTTTGCTTGCTGTACATTATCTGTACTTTTTTGTCATAATGCTAGACGCCATGGTGGCACTCCATAACCATCAGCGTTTGACCATGAACTTGACGTGACTTGTATCATTGTTCACTTGTACATTTGTTGCGAGTGTTTGTATTGCACCATAGGGTTCTTCCTGAGTCAGTTGAGCGATTACAGGTCCAACTACAGGTGGATTACCTGCGACACTGAGAAGCGTTTCACGTCCGAGAACACTGCGATATTTGACAATGGAAAAAACATCAATAGCAATTATCTTTTCAATTAAGGTAACAACTGAAGGTGGAATTGCAACCGGTGCAGCTGTTTCATTCATTATGGCTATCACGATGTACGCCGATTGTTTATGACTTTTACCATGATGAAATAAACCTTTGACGAGGAAACGTGGATCGATGTAAGTTTGATA